CACAAACCACCACCACCACACACTTCCATTGGTTGCTGAACCTAGGATAATCCACATTCTTCGCTCACACATTTTCAGACTTGCCTTCTACAAAGGGGGCATCGTAAACAAAAGCAGGCACAAGGCGTGCTCTGACATGGTCACAGAAGCGGAGGTCATACCTGAGTCGTGACATATTCGCTCACCACCACAAGATGACATCAAACAGGCTCGCTCATGCATGTGGAATTTACTACATCCTTCCTCCACACTCACCGAAACATTCTAATATGTCTTCTGTATTAATGACATCGCTGTTATTGCTAAACTTGTAGAGTGGAGTAAAAGCTCAGAGGGGGAAATCACTCATCCCTGGATCTCACATGAACATTCATTTTAAATGTTCATGTGAGAACAGAGAAGGCCCAAGAGCAGTGAAGTGAGGGATCATGGCACTTGAGTTTCCATGTTTAAGGCAGATATTGTAGCTGGAGTGAAACAGGGCCTCGAAGACATGATGAAAGTATCAGCATGTCAGTAAACAATCGTGGTGGTAAGTAGTGAAGTACAAATAACTGTACTCAGGTTGAATTTTCAGGTATCAGCACTTTTATTTATTTTTTGGCAACTTTTTACTTTTACACCCTACAGTTTAACACAAACATCTTTACTTTCTACTCCTTACATTTTCAAAACAGGCTCCTTACTTTAAGGTTTAAAGCAAGGGATCTTTTTTATTTCCCAGAAAATAGGAGCCTAAATGAAGGAAACAATGATACATAAAAGACTGTGGACAAGCACATCGAGCTCACCAGGGAGGATATGAAAAGTGGCAGGTTAGCCTTGTTAGACGGTGAGATTTCCATCAGCATTTAAAAGTCGCTGTGTATCGTAAACCATCGCATCTGGATCTGTATTTAAGGTCTGACTCTAATTATCCACTGGAGCACAAACGGGGTGTCGTCAGAGTGAACACCATCCCCACAGGTACAGTGGCCAGGGAAGCAGAGGAACATCATATCAAGAAGAAGGCCCTGAGTAAATGTGGTTATCCCAGCTGGACATTTGTCAAAGCTGGTTTGACAACGTACTCATGGTCATTGATCAGTGGTTGTTGATAAATGGTCATGACAATTTGCATATTAATGATCAAGAAACCGAACTTACAGCCCATTTTCATCAGTGGTGCTAGTTTCAGTCATTATGTAAATTTACTTTTTATAAGTTAGGGGAAAGCTTGGATGATTGAGTGTGCATCAATCCTATTGGTGTAACCATCAGCAGGACTTATCAAACTCAAAGGGCTCACAGAGGCAAGACATATAGTAAATAACGCAATGTTCAAGGTTTAAAGTGGGCCAGAATGATCCAGAATGGCGTTTTTGTTGCAGATATCCGTAAGTTGCAGTCGCCGTACTTCACCATCAAGCTGCTGCTGCAGAAGAGGAGTGAGTATAACGTTTTTTAAGTGGCAGGTAATTTTAAATGAAACCTTTCTATCAGCTTAACAAACATCAGCAACCATTGGCAGTCTGTTGCACAGTGTGTCTGCTAGCTAAAGGTCCAGCTGCTGTTTTGGAAAGAAGTTCACTCAGAGATGAAGAAAAAGTAAAAGACGTACGAAAGACAGGACAGGAGAAGAAAAAGAGAGGTTATATTTAAAGGTAAGGATGCTCAGTGACATCAACTGGAAAGCTAAACTTACATGTAAGTTATATGATGGGAAGTTTTTCATATTGTGAAACATTCTTCAAAACAAACTAAGGTGTATACTCGGTGTTGCTGAAAGGTTGCATGAAAATCCTTCGCAGTTGTGCAGGATAAACAGGTTAGTTTGCTGTACTGTGGTGACTTTACTGTAAAACACTATGTTAGACTGGTGCATAGCAGCTGTGGTAATTGTGGTCAGAGTTGGGGTATATAAAATATTGTAGAGATAAATTTAAATTTAAGCTGCTAATGCTTGTAGTCATTCATTCAATTCCACCTTTGTAGTACAAAGGGAGCATAAACAATACTGTCAGTGTAGCGGATCAAAATCAGTGAAGTTAGCTTGTGAATGATCCACTTACATCTTGTTGAAATCAGTTGTGTAAACCCATAAACAGCAGTAAACCTCAGAGTAGCAGCACAGGTCAGCTGATCACAGCCTGCACACAAAGAAAATCTGCTGTGATTCTTTTTCTCACGCTGAGCCACTACAACAGATCTTAGGGTTCCCCTGCCTGCCAAATCCCACTTTAACCCCTGACTGTAATATTTTTCTGCTTAGGTGTGGATGTGTGTATTTATGTATTTTTACCCAAGTATCTGTACTTCTACTTAAGTAAAGAATGTCTGTACTTAAAGTTCAGTGTAAAGCCTGGAGAACAGTGTTGTTCAAATCCCCTCAGGAACTTTTGGGTTATATGGGCATCTACTCAATGAAACTATGCAGTTAAATTTTCCTCTATACAGTTTTAAAGTTATTAGACATTGGCCTTTTGCCTCACGTGCATGTTGATGCAACTCTAATAAAAAAAAAAAAACTGCTGTTTTGATATTTAAATCACACTCAGTGTTGTCTAACATCACCTAATACAAGTCCCATTAATGTTCAGAGTGTGTTGCATGCCGAGGCATGTGTTATTTCTCCAGTAGTGGGGCTAATTACACTTTCCTTTAGTTCATTAGTAGCTCAGGGCTACACTGAAACCCCATCTATGACTAATGCAGACAAACAAATTAACCTCAGACTAAGCATGCACGGCCCTCTTGTCCTTTGTAAGATGAACACATATAAATAACATTTTTGCATGTTTTTTTTTCTTACAAAATTTGCCTTTCAGATTCACAGTGAAATGCATTCTTTATCCTGCAGCTCTGCGTGTTTCTGAAAGCTGAAATAGCCCCATCTGCAGGCTCTTAGAAATATTACATCTTTTCCTGTCAAGCCTTGTTTGGATTAAGCCTCGAGCCTTTAATTGCAGTGTGTTTGTGGGGCGGGCCTACGAACACTGAGAAGGGTGTTAGCGTGGCCTTAGCAGTGTGATTTCATGGATTATAAATGCTGCCTTTCGCTGTGTTACACTTGCGGATTTTTTATTTTTGTTTTTGCGATTTTTCAGAGCCTGTCAGAGCACATTGTAACTTGATCTCTGAAATCAAATGTGTTTATTTGTACATGTTGCGCTGATCATTCAAAAGGGCCTAGTTTCTGACTGGAACATTTAAACAAGACCTACAAGTCAAACAAAAAGATGGAGGTAGCGAGGGGACACGTTTTTTTGCTTTGTTTTGTAGGTAAAACACACCATTTTTTTCTTCAAAGATTTAGCGCTCTCTCGTGAATAACAGTGTTAAGAGAGACGATGCGTAGGCACCGAAGGACCTGCTCTGAGATAAACACAGTTTATGGTAACAAAGTTAACGTCTGGGGCTGGGTGACTTGTCATAATCATTAAATCTGAATATGTCCCTCATAAGAACTGTTTTGACCCAGTTCTTCATCTTTTTTAAGTGCAGGGTGTTGTGCCAGATTGAACCCTCCTGCAGAGTAGCCCTGTACAGTAGACTAGCTGCTAAACCAGTCTTCAACAGACTGCTTCTTCACATCAAGAGCTAACAAAAATGACGCTATTGTTAAAAAAACCCCTCCGTATTTGTTGTTCTTGACTGTTTTTAGCTGAAAAGCACTTTTATCTGTTTATAAACGCCGTGTACCCATTTACATGTTCATCTCTGTTTGTTGTAAACTGTTTGCCTTGCTTGCTCTCTTATGCAGACCAACCTCAGAGAGTAGAGAGCTCTGAGATGAAGTTATTGTTAGACATGTAACGCCGACAAGCCAAACATCGATTTCCCTTTGACTTTCCGTGCTGCTGTTGTAGTTGAATTTTCTTAGCATTTATTCATGACGTGTGAGAGTCACGATTTTGAAAAAGTTATGACCCCGACGTGATTTGAACACGCAACCTTCTGATCTGGAGTCAGACGCGCTACCGTTGCGCCACGAGGTCTTCTACACTGTTACCGCTATGAAAAGCCAACTACAAAGTCCTATATGTTCGTGTGGATTATACTAGCATTTTTATTTAAAATATTATGAAATATAGGCGCAAACACCTGACTTGTGTGAACGCTTCACTCACAGCTGAATAACAGGCGCATTACAGGCGCCTCTACGGACACCGCTGCTGCTTTACTAACAAATTCCAATTTCTGTCATTAAAGCCTGCGTCAGCACCATGGACAGCTGTTACCACAGCGACCGCACCTCGCGTGCGGTAGTCGTTAAAAAAACATGGGCGTGATGAACGCGCATGCGCGAGTTACATTTAAACGATTTCGATCAACAAGACCGGTGAATTATTTTATCAACGTATATTTTTAAGTCATTCATTCATTCATGTGTAAGCACCTGTACCTGTATCTTCAACATAAAATTATGCCCACTTTAAATAAAAACACATCCCAAGGAAACGTCGTCGGTACATTTTTCATTGATCTATTACTGCATTATATATTCCACAGGTGCGATTAATGAAAAGAATCTGTTTCAGGTTCCCAGCATTTTACATGCCAACACGTGGTTTTCTGGGCTATTGTTAATACTGCAAGTGATAACTTGCTTGTGTTCTTTTCTTTTTACCTTTATTTAGTTAGGAAGTGAAACTCTTGAGATTAAGAATCTCTTTTGCAACATAGACAAGGTCTGTTCCTGTCTGTACAAGCCACCTGTCTCATATGGGAAAGCTCTGTTTCCAGCTCCTATCCTCGTGATCCTATCCTCACTTTTCATCTGATTGCCACCTTTCAACCCTTATCAGTTCATCATATTAATGTCGAATCACTACTCACAGCTGCTTGACACACAGATAAGAAACATGGCAGGCTTCCTTTCCAGTGTTTTTGTGATATATTGATGATCTGCATATTTCTGGCAGCTGATCCGAACAGTGTGTACACAACTACAACAAGAAAACATTACCTGTAATGATTATATCTGTCTCCCTCACTGAAATGGAAACGCTACACAAACCTTTACATAAACCCATCTGTGTTTTTTATTCATTTATTTGACAAGCAGCAGGATCATGTTTGTCTTTATATTTGAAAGTAGATACAATAATCAGTATAACATTTTATTACAATGTTTTCCTAACTTTAATACATTTAACAAAGAAAAAAATAAACACACAACAACGGTAAATGTGAGAAAAGAAAGCATTTTCTTTTAAAAGTGTCTCCAATTTTTTCTTTTTTCCTTTATTTTCTGTTGTAGTTTATCAGCTCTCCGCTCTCAAACAGCTACAGGCATTCTCTTTGACGCACACGTGCGTGGCACTGGTGATGTTGTAAACAGCTTAAAAATCAGAAAGTGGGCAGGGTTCGGGAGGAGAGCCTTATGAGTGATGATGACGTGACACGATGACTTTTCTTCTTTTCAAAGATGGAGGCACCGGTTTCGCTTTATTTTGCTGCACGGGGATCGGAGCAGACAGTCCAAAACCTAAAATGAATGAAGGAGTCCGTTTCGTGTTTTAAATCTGTTATCAGTCAGTCAGTCAGTCACAGGGGCGGGTGTTTCTGTGGCTCGACTCTTCTGCTTATGCGACGTAGCTGTACTCGTCTGCCGAGGTCTGGCTTCGCTCGATGTACTGCTTGTCGATGAGCACCTCGATGCACTTCTTGATCATGCTGATACTGGGGTTGAACCTGGCTTTGGACTGATTAATGACCTGGACACATGAAGTTTCATATGTAAGCAGAAATATAGATGATCTCAAAACAGGTAGCCATTTAAAAACACTTATGCTCATGCTAAATTTACTCCTCGGGCTTCCAACAGCCCTTCATTGCAAGCATCAATTCATTCAATCCAAGTAAATCCCTCTGACATTCCCTCAAAGACTTGTTGGCACGTACGTTTCTTTCTATCAACCTATTTGAGACAAAAGCTTCTGCTCACCTCCTGGATGAGGGCATTGTGCCGGAGCACCTTGCGGGCTTTCATGATTCTCACTATAGCAGCTTGTAAATACATTTTGCGGTCCTCGTCGACAGCGCTCCTCGTCTGCTCCATCTCCTAAACATGAGACAATTCAGGGGGCACGTTTTTAAATGTCAAACACACATGTATATACACTGCTCAGTTATCTTATAACAAAGCACAGAGACAGATCAAAATCGATTTGCCTGACCTGTGGTGTGTCTTTCTGCATTGATGTTGTGATCTTGAACTTTGTCCTTTTACTAGTGAAACTCATATTTAGTGAAAACGTCGACTCGGTTTCAATCTCCTCCTGTGAGAAGAGGGAAAGGATTCGGAATTTAAAACACTCTCGGTGCTTAATGGAATATTAGCTGAGCTTTGGGATCCACGTGATCCCACATGAAAGCTGACACCTTTTGTGAGTCGTGGTTGAGCATTTTGACGTCCAGCAGGGACTTTATTGTTTTCTGTAGCTCCTTCTCATTCATCTGCGTGCCATCCTGCAGCTCCTTATAGGTCACTGTTTGGCTGTTGTTGAAGGCCAGCAGCACAGCCATCTGGTAGGTGGTCACCATGGCAACGTAGGGCTTGGATAGATAGTTCATCTTTACTTCACCTGTGCAGGAAACAGATTACATTTGCATTTGTCAGTTAGCATGAGTCCAGCTCGCTGCTCGTTACTACCTTCATTCACCTCCGTGCTTGCTTGTCCTGCATCCTCAACTGCTTATCTCACTAGAAGTTTGTTTCGAAGATGTCGCCAAACCATAATCATGCAACTTCTGGCACGAGACACCCATTTGCAGGTCCCATCTTAGTCTGCTCAAACTGATCTCATGGTGCCACAAATGATGAAAATAAAGTCTACATGTGTTAAACAGGCCTTTTAACTGCACACTGGACAAAACCGAAACACGTCCTCAGCACAAACACAGGTCCGTCGACCTTACGGCGAGCGCAGAACCACACTTACGGGATTCAACTTTAATCCCAAAATGCTAAGAGGAGCTAAAGTTTGATGTGTAAAGTTTAATATGTTCTTCAGAGATTATTACATACCACAAACATCTCTCAAGTGGAGAGTGATAACTTTAAAATGATTATCCATCATCTTGACCCATGGTCTGAGA